CTTCTCATCCTTCTGCTATAGCACCGAGCCAGCCATGGACTAAAAATCTCAAAATTGGTATCAGTAGAGCCTCAGCCTCACAATTCACAAGGAACAAGGAACTCTGAGTGGCAGATATATGCTCTGCAGGGTACCCTCATCTAAATGACAAGGAAATTGAGGCTCAGAGAGGTTAAGTGATTTGCCCAAGGTCACACAGCTAGTAAGTGCTGGAGCCAGTCTGTCTGACTCCTGTCAAGACAACAAGACCCTGGGGAATGTAAAGCTTTCAGAGAATCAGTGGCTCTGGCCTTTCTTAAAGCCTAAAGCACCCAGAGTTGCATTTTAACTAAATCAAACACTGTTGCTCTGAATTGACTTTGGCAGGCCCATTACCCCCACCCCCAAAGCAAAGAGAATAGATGTTCTGGGTTCGGAGACTAAAGGAGACAGAAAGCTTCAGAAGCTGCCCTCATAGTGAGGGTCCAGTTCTTATTTGGGGGGTGACCATCTGTCAACTCAACTCAGCCTCCTTCACAAGAGCAGTGCGAGCAAATAGGACAGGAGCGTAGCTAGCTGCTAACAGGTACTGGTACATTGTGGTGATATTTGCCTACTGTTTCATTGGGTGGGAGTGCAGTTCAATTTGGCTATGTAATAGGGGCTCATTTTACGAGGAAAGGGTAAATAATTCCCCCCAGAACCTCACAAGCTACAGAAAAAAGAGACACAGCGGAGAGCTGCAGCTTTGGGGACTTGGGAGGAAGATAAGAAAAGGTCATGGCCACAGCTGTGCTTGCGCTTTCTCAATTAAGCAACAGGCAGAAGTTAATTGCCTGTAGGTAATCAGGATCCCATTGAGGTATTTTAGCTGTTTTCTAAATATGGAGCAAAAGAAATGCTCTCCATTAGGTATTGACAATTAATTTGTATGTGCCGAGTCTTTCAGAGTATGACAAAGAAAAACTCCCTGAGCCTGGGTATGGGGGTTTCTAGAAGCAATGGGTTTAAGGATTGGCTTATCAGACAGCGTCCAAAATGAAATGAAGCTAAGTTTTCCAATACTCTAGTCTTTTCTGAAAGAGCTCTAGAGTTTTGACAGACATATTGTATGAACACTGTACATAGGCCCTGCTTACCTATGCTTCTGAATCCAGTACTCTTGGGATTTGAATGAAACTTAGTGCATCTATGTTGTTTGAATTGTGGGACTATAGATGTATTATCTACCAAAATAATCACCACTACAGCATAGTCTTCCTGAGTTATCTGTGTTTTAATGGTATAACTGGCAGGAGACCTTAGGAGGCCTGTCTACAGAGTGCTCAGGTTAAGAAGCATCAGATGGTGTGGGTGGGGTGGCTTTTCAGTATGTACAAGGACCTCGCTCTAACGTCTGCCTGCTTGGTACTGCACAGATATTCACAACACGAATGGGACAGATTAGACGAGGATTATGCCCCATTTTATGAAGTCAGTGATGTCTCCGTAAATATGGCCATCAATAAGATTTTGATACTTAGTGTCCCATTCCTCAGTCCTTCCATAAGTAACTTAAAAACGTATTCTGACAAACATTTCAGCCCCAGGATGCTGCAGTCTCCATAGTTTTACAAAGCAGAGCATCATTTAAGAAGAAAACTGTCAAATTATTTGATGATGTCTTAAGAAGAATAATATCTGGATAAATCATTTCAAGGAACTGTGGAAAATTATTTTTAATAAAAAATAAAAGTAACAAGAACTAAGCTCATGGATTTTTTTCCATAGGGCAGAATTAGCTAGAAGATGCTACATAAATATGAATTCTAATTAGTCTTTTAGTCACCCTTGGATTGTTACTTCAAAAAAAGCAGAACTTCCTTCATGCTCACCATGGAACATTATGTCTCTAGAATGATAAGGATGGCTAGTTGGCCCTTGGGGGGAGGCTCATTAGCTCAGTTCTACTAATGACTGTTCAGAGCTGCTCACAGAACGCAATCTCATTTTTAGCTATCTGTGATCAGGTCTTTTAGGACAAAGTTTAGTGGGGGTTGTGTGGGGTTCGTATTCACTCTGTTGTGTACATACTAATTAACCAGGCATTCCCACTTTTCTTGTCAGATTGAGAAAAAGCAGAGTCCACCAACATTTTGTAATTGCAGGTTGAGAAAAGTAGTGGAGAATGTCTAAGCCTTCAGATTTCCTATCTGGAAATTATAGACAAGACAGTGCATGGTGGCCCAGAAAGGGCAGTGAGATGTGCATTCTGCAAAAGGCCAATGGCTGGGAAGCACTGGAATGTTCTTCTGAGACAGAGGCAGAGCTCTCCCCTTAGCACATCTATCTGAAGGCTAGCCTTGTCTCTCTGTTTGCTTCTTCCAATTACCTCACAGGCAATTGTTCTGTTTAGTGGTCCCAAGCAAGCAAAATCATTTTCAATGCCTGTATCTCATTGACTTGTAGAAATCCCCTGAAATTTGCTTCTACATGTTCAAGCTACCATCCTGAAGCTGCCTTTAGAAAAAAGAAACACAACAGTTTATTTTAAAACAATGATTTGGTTAGTATGTTAAGTTTTTCTAAGAGGGAGTAGAGTTTGCAAAGAAAAGGACTGTGATCACTTTTAGTTCTTAGATATCCAGGTTTGGGTACTCATACATGTTCAACAGTTGATGATATAGATCCTGTGTTTAGCCATTATCTCTACTGTGCATAAATTACATTGACATTATCTGCCTTCAACTTGGTAATGTGTGTCTTCCATGAATGGACTTCATATACATGAGTGCTAAACTTACTGTAACCTCCTCTGAAGTGATAACAGCTGTAATTCAGAAATTGCAAACTCTTTCCTGGCAGCTAGCCATAGCTTACAAACTGTTTTCCTTGCCTTAAAATTTTTTTTTTATCCCCCATTGGCTGCTACCATTGAAAAATTGCAATATCTTCATATAATAAACCAGGGCTTGAATTATGAATAAAGTTTCTATAAACATTTGTGGTGCAGATTTTTACAATGATTTAAGTTTTCAGTGAACTTGGTATATTCCAAGGATAGCAATTGCCACATCATATGTTGATTTTCCAATAAACTGACAAACTGTCTTCCAAATTTGCCTATAACATTCAATATTCCTAACAACAATGAATGAGAATTCCTATTACTGCACATCCTTAGTACTATTTGATGTTATTTTTATTTTGGATTTTAGCCATTCCAGTCCATACATAGTATGTGTAAATATAAAGTTTAAAGTTACTTTCTTCATGCTTGCTAAATACTACACTGTACATCTTAACTTACCAGAATCCATTTCTGATTTATAATTTATAGTAATATATATGATATATAACTTATAGTGACATGCAGAAACTTTCCTCCTACATAGACTTGCTAGCCCAATTGTCTCCTTAATAGCGCAGTTTGGCTGGGGTCCCCCAAGTTGGGTTGCATGTTGGTTGTCAAGCTGGAGAGATGGCCCAGAGTTAGGAGTACTTTATGCTCTTCCGGAGGACTCAAATCCAGTTCCTAGCACTAACATAGGTCCTGGAGTAGCAATTGTATTTGGGATGGTATGTGTATGGAAAGGATTTGGTCTAGAGATAGATAAAAAAGGAATTTGAGAAAGGTAATTATTATTCCTTCTTGCTCATAGTAATATTATAAAATAGTTGGCAAATGCCTAAACTAAAACACGAATCCTCTTGGGATATTATATGCTCAGTTTACAATGTAAAAAAATCTTGATTTAATAGCCCATTTTTACAAAGTGAAGGTGCTTTTCAGAAAAGAAAGTAGATATTTAGATAACCTGGTAGTCTCAGTTACAGGTCTTTAAACTAAAAGTAGGGGAAGGGAAACTATCCAGTGGATTGACAGTACCACATGTGAATTCCCTCCTGTGGAACAGGGCTAAGTGATTGGTTAACCCTATAACCTTAATGCTAGTATTGTACTAGTGGACACATCTTGCCATGCAGGTCAGTGTTATAGTATGCAGAATCCAGTACTGGATTAGACTATTTTCTTTTTCTGGAAATATGTCTTTTAAACATTATCAATTAATTAAAATATTTAGATATACTAGTTAGGTTAAACGAAACACTTCTTTGGCCACATAATAGTAAATTCTGATTTAGATGATGGAGACATCACAGTAAAAACAAACAAACAAACAAACAGAGCCTTGATGTGGTGAATTTAACTGTCTGGCTCTTTGTCCAATTAGTCTGGGTGAGTAATTCTGCAGTCTTTATGTTGGTTTGTTTTCTGTAACATATGTCTTCAGTGGTAAAAATGATAAGTAGTTTCTGTATCCGGTAGGATCAGTCTGTTGTGCAATAGCTGGAAAATCATTGGCCAGACAATGTGCTAAATAAAGAAAGTCATCAGAAGGTCATTGTCTTTTGGAGTCCTTTTTATGCTGGCTCCGTCACCAGTTCGTGAATCCCCTGAAGGCCTTGATAAGGAATTTATATTTGGTTCTAAAAACATTAGGAAGCTATTGGAGGCTTGTGAGCAGTGAAGAGACATCATCCAACTTAGTATTCTAAGGCTTGTGAGCAGTGAAGAGACATCATCCAACTTAGTATTCTAAGAAGAATCTTCTAAAAGAGCTGTTTGGAAGGTTGTATCTAGGGCTACAACCTTGTCAGTTTAGGAAAATCTGCCTTTACTGAACTTAGCCGTTTTCACTGCTACTTGTACTTTCTCGGGACTGTCATTTTTATATTTATACATGCATGCTTTTCTCTCTACCCTTCCCACAAATGGAGATGTTCTCCATTGCTTGTGAGCAATATATCCTAAAAAAACTTGAAGGCTATGTCATCACGAGCACTTTATAGTAAGAAAACCAATGTCTTTTCTGGTGGAACTAATTTCCTTGTGTTCTTGCCTGGCCTACAGGCTATTATTCATCAGCTATGTAGCAGAGATAGAGTTTTCCAGATAAGTAATTTTCCCATCAGAGAGAACAAATAAACGCTTTCACAAATTCATCTAACCTATCTATTGCTATGTTTCTGTCTTTCAGAAAATACTGAAGGAAGGACCCCTGCTAAAGAACTGTAACTCCTTCAGGAAATGGAAGCTTAGATATTGTCTGATCCAAGGACAGAAGCTCCACTTTGCACACCATCCTTCGGTAATTATAAAACCCTTTCATCTGCATGAGTGGGTGGGTGCCAAGAAATATGTGGGTGCAGAGAAGGCCACCAATAAAACGCAACTTGAAACCATCTACTCTTCCCTTAACTAATCCCTTTGGGCCAAATGAGTGATAGTATTTTTCCTTTACCCTTTTCTATGTCTCTTCATTTTTGTGGACTTTCCAGTTAGTTTCTATATCCAGAGCTGCCTACAAAATTCGTAGTACAAATGAAAATGCAGAACCCTTAATTCAAAAACCAGGAAAAATGCCATTAATGACACTAACACAAACTGTTTTATATTTATACTAAAATGTACAGCATTGACTTATGGTGTTTTAATTTGGTATTTAATGTTATTCTTAAAAATTAAATAATCAGTGTGAAGTTTGCCATTTAGTTTTCATTTGCACCATTCCAGTTTTAAGTATAAGAGCATATAGCTTACATAAAGAACAACCATCATTATATAATTTGCGTTAGTAGCTCATACATGCATGCGTATTTTGTTTTCAGCAGTAGACAAACTAGCTCTTTCTTTTTCACTTTTTTATATTTTCACATTCTGCCAACACTTTCTGAGTAAATGGAAAAGGCACAGTAGTTTGTACTGGCTTTCCTTTTCAACATTAATGGTTGCTTAATACCAGGACAGAATAGGAATACGAGTGAATAGAATAGGGCTCCTTGGTTGATTGTTTAAAAATACTGCCTTTTTTTCATGTCTGTAGCAAGTTCTGGCTCCAACAGAATGTGTGGACTGCCAATATCCATGCCTGATCAGTCATAGACATAACATATTTTGTACTTGCATTGCCACCATGATAGAATTCACTGAAATTGTATATTATAAATACAATTAGAATGACAAAATACAGGCAGGCATGCGATGATACATGTTTCCTGTATTCATGTGCACAACCCATGCTCTTATTGGGCTTTATTTATAAAACACAAGCCCAAAGATCAAATGATCAGGAATTTTTTTGGAGGAAGCAAGTTTTACTCTATTCTACTCATTACAACATATCTGTTTTGATTCAGTAAGTAGAAAGTCTATAGAAAGGCATGTGATCAGGAATTTAAAGATGGCAATAATAAAGCATTAGACCAAGTTCTAGGCCATTCTGAATGTGAGGTCTTATATGACAAGACAAATAAATGGTTGGATCATAATTGCCAAAAATGTTTGTCAGTGTGTGTGTGTGTGTGTGTGTGTGTGTGTGTGTGTGTTTGTACACCTTTTAATGTCTATTTGGCTAATTAATCATTCTCCCTCTATGTCTTTCCAGTTTGCACACTTTGAAACAATTGATCTGTCTCAAGTCGCCTTGGCCGAAAGTAGCTGTAGAAATCTTTGCCACGGTTTCTGTGTAAGTAAGATTGAAAATCAGTGATGGGCATGGTTGGGGCTAGCTAAGGAGTAGGGTTATTCTACCTAGTTGTTCCATTTTGGGGGACAGCAGGGTTAACAATTCTTCTTTGATTGCAAAGTGCTATTATTCATACAAATTTCCACTAGCCTAATGATATATAGGAAGATGAGTACTAGTCATGTTCCCTATTAATAGGCTGCTATAACGCCAAGTTGACTTCAAGGGACAAGGGGCCTTTGGCTATTATAGTGTCCATTCGTTCTTCTTGGTGAAGGTGGTTTAGAAGTATCATTGGGCAGGGTTTCAAGAGACTGATAAGTCACAGGAAAAATTAGAATAACTAAGTTTCATGGCATAATTTCCTTTGTCAAGATAAGCAATCCACAGTGAAATCTAGCTCGTAGTGAGGTTGCAGATCAGAATACTTCTAAGAAAGCAGAGGAAGTGTTCAGGGCTTAGTGTGCCTGGGATGTCATACCGCTTTGGTTTTGCATGTAAATCTAAACCAGAAGAATTACTGAAAAGTGTCAAATTCACTATCCCTGAACAATCCTTTCCACATTCTCCAAAACTTGTTTTCCCCAGCCTCATCAGTTGGTTATATTAGGGTTTTTCTTAAATCTAGGCTACCCCTTATCATATTGAAACACAGGGCTGCTGCACATCAGATCAGCTAAAAATTGGATTTGAAATGAAGTAGTGACTATCATCAATGTCCTAAGCAGTTCCTATGCCTATCTACCACAAAATCAAGTGCTACATGCAAAAGGAGACAGAAATTGCATGTTAGTATGGTTAACACAAGCTTCAGTTTGAGACATTCATCATTAAAACAAGCAGGGCCATTGAAGCAATGACTGACACCATAGCCAATCGTGTTCTCTCTCACTGTCTGGAAAAAGCTGAAGTTCTTCTTATTGTCTACGTCATTAAGACCTTCAGTACTGGATCAGTGAGATGGCTCATCAGGCAAAAGAGTTTGTCATGCAGGCTCACTGATCTGAACTCAATCTCTGGATCCCATCTAAGGAGGAGAGAACCAACTCCTAAAAATTGGCCTTTATACATGGTCTTTGCCACACATATACCTACACTCACATACATAGGTGTGCACACATATCAGACACACACAATCAGAGACAGACAGATAGGTAGATAGATACATAGATAAAATAAGACCTTCAGCGTGGCTTTGATACTATTTCTGGCTGGGTTCTTCCACTTACCCCTCCTTTCCCATGATAAAGAAAGGAACTGGATTTTTTGGACATCTTTTTTGCCCTCAAAAAATAAGAGAGCAAATACACTTTCATTGCTTCACATAGGACAGCAGTGAGCAAGTAAATATTTTAGGAAAGGTCATTTCAGAAATAGATGACACATAGGTTAGTGTTTAAGAGAGTGGATTCAAGAAATGAAGAATCTGCCTTCATTTTGTTTAAACTTTTGGATGACTCCAGACAAGTCATTTCATGCCCTTGTCTTTGTTTTCCTAGCTGTGAAAGGGGAAGAATTACAGTGTCCATCTCATGGGGACATAATGAAGATTGATTGAAATTATATTCCTAGAAGTGCATTGAAATAGTGCTTGGTACACATGAAGTAGCATTAAATTGTTATTTATTACTATTATAATTATTATTGCCTTGAATAGTTATGAGAGTGGCTCTGGAAACTTATGTCTTACATTAAAGAAGTGGCTGGGAATATACTTGGTACTTATGTCTAATTTTGTAGAGAATTTGAAGACTCAGGGCAGAGTACTTTGTTGTGAAAATCAACTAATAATATGATGTTTTGTTTAGGTTATCACACCACAGCGAAAATTCTCCCTGATTGCACCCAGTCGGAAAGACATGGAAGAATGGATTAACATCATAAAAACTGTCCAACAGGGAGAAGTCTATAAGGTAAGGCAAAAGGTAGCGAATACACACAACCCTCAGGAGAAAATACTTAAGTGATTACAGTAGGGATGTTGGTTTTCAAACAAAGGGAAGCAGAGACTATCCAGCTGGGAAGTATATACAGATATCGTTTGGAAACCTGTTTAGAACTACTCACACAAATAGGAAAAATTCACTTATGTTCAGACCCTGGTAACCAACCATGTAGTGCTTGCTGTACATATCTGGTAGGTATGTCATGGTATACCCCATAAATGAAATCCATGAGATGTATTTATGCAGCTCACTTAGATGTCCATAATTGTTCAGAAAGTTGCAATTAGCAGTTTTAATTCCTGTCTTCAGAATAACAGTAATATTGATTTAAGAAACTGAGGTGGAGAAAGAGCAAGGAATCAGATTAAGGAGAAATAAGCACTCCCCCACATCTCATCGGGGTTCTTTTTCTCCTTCACTGTCTCTAATATAAACAGTGCTACTATTCAGACTGCAATCTGGCCTGGGCTAGCTCTTCTGTAAATCTACCATAATTATAACCTATATAAGGTACAAGATGGAAAGGATCATGTCATTTATTTACTTAGAAAATACCTGTATCATAGTGAGGCTAGATAAAGTTTTTGAAAGAATATGTAAATCTAAGGGAAATTTTGAAGTCAGAGTTTTGCGTGGGATTCATACAAAGTCCATCCTAAATCAAAATTCTTCTCTGAAAATCTTGGAAATAAAGGAACAAAATGAATATAGTCTTCAAATATCTTGATGTCACACAGCATGCTAAAAAATGTAATCCAGAAAAATATAACACAAAATATTCTTAATGTCTTAAATAACTAATGAAGATAGAGGATTGTTTTGGGCATTTAGGCTGGAGCAATGTGCTAAGTAACAATGAGGCTTAGAAATTAAAAATAATGCCTTTAAGAAGAGCCATATTTCCTCATACACTTGATATTTTTCAGTATTTTGACCACTTGGTGTTATGGCTATACATTCAGCTGTTCATGATTATGACAAGACGAGGATAACATGCCAACGTGACTAAGCTGGCGCCTCCAACACACTATGAAACCTTTATACAAGCCTACATTGCATAGTGCTTAATTGAGAGTCCTCCTCATAGCCTCTGATGGCTTTCATGTGACTTAGAATTTAGTACTGACCTGGTTTTTTCTCCCTTTCCTGATGGAATAGTACATACCCTCTGTGGCAATGAGGCCAGCATTAGAGGCAGCAACAAAGAGTTGTTCATTCTTTACTGCTGACTCTTTCTCACTCTCAGGGAACAATACCTTTCTCTTAGCTTACTTCAATTCAACCTGGAATGTTTCTGACACATCTCACATTATTTTCAATTTCAAAAAATCGGGAAGGATATTTTGAATTTTAATTATTAGTTTCAGAATGCAAAAATCCTACAGAAAACCATCAGAAAATAGATATATCATTATTTACTTCATAGAATTAAAGGCCTGGTTATTGACAACCTAGCACACACTAGAAAAGAATGATTTGCCTGTTCCTTCCCTTGGAAGAATTGTGGAGTTGCCTCACTGACCTAAATATATTAAGGAACACTTTCAGCTGCTAGAACACTCTCACTACCAGGACGTTAGCATTTCATCTTGCTTGACGCTAAAACAGGCAAATGCTGCCTTTTTCTATGCACCTTATCTCTAACAGTCATTTCGATCTTCTGTCACCAACAGTGCATGACATTTGTAGTGACAAAAGGTTAATCATGGGTTTAGTGATCTATTAAATAGTGACAAATTGGATAATATATTGGAAACAATATATATAAAACTAGATAGTTCTGGTGCCAAATGTGGTGAAAAAAAGATAGAATTCTAGTTCCTGGTCCCAGTGAGTGTTTAGGTAGTTAGGAAGACAAGATGTGTATACTGAAGAGATACAAAAGCAGTATAGGAGTGTAGAAGGGGAAAGGAGAAGCATCTAGAGTTTTCTGGGAAGAATTAGCAGAGAAAAAACTTGAGCCTGGCCCTGAAAGATACATGGGACTTAACTAGTGGCAAGGGTTTGAGTAAGCAGAGAGCCCTGAACACAGAAACTGATACAAATGAAAAAGCTAAGTACTAGGAAAAGAGAAGTAGTGAAGACTCACACTATGATAGCATTTCAATTGAAAGATTGAAGAGAGTAGAGTTGTATGCTTTAGCAATGCAGAAAAGAGCAGCTGGGGAGATGGCTCAATGGTTAATGCTTGCTAATGAGGGTGAGAACCTGAGTTTGGATCCCAGCACCCACATAAAAAGCCTGACATTACAGTGTATTCCTGTAAATTTAGCCCTGGGGCAACAGAGGTGCAGAGGCAGCTGTACCCCAGGAGTTAATTAGCCAACGAGTGTAGCTAAGACAGCAATGTTTAAGTTGCTTAAGGGACCCTATCTCACAAAATACATTAGGGAGCACTGCATACAGATGGCCTTCTCCACACTTGCATGCAGGTACACCTGCACATAAGTATGTCACATATAAGTATGTATAAACATACGTACTCCCCCCCAAAAAACACAGAAGGGATTAGACAAGGGAAAAACTAGAGGGAAGAAATTCTGTATCACCTCAGGCAAGACAAAGCTAAGTCTCAGTAGGATGATACAAAAGGGGACAAATAGTAAATGATAATTCGTAAATAGTAGAGTAAGAAGAGAAGCTAAATATAGAAAAAAAACAAAGTGGGCCTGGGGACGGAAGTCAATGGTAGAATATATAAACTACCATGTAAGAGGCCTTTGATTTCATCTCCAAGATTGAAAGAGTATGGCAGAAAGGAGTTTTTGACAGGAAGTAAGTTTCTAACAATGTTCCTAAAGGCCTAATCTTAGAACTTTTCTTTATTTTCCTTTGTGGTTGTTCATCTGTCCCTTTTATTTAAAATAGATTCATTTCTCATACAATGTATCCTCTCTGGGTCTACAGGTTGTGGGTTGGTTCTCATTTACTTAACGGCTAATATCAACATATAAGCGAATACATACTGTATTTATCTTTCAGAATCTGGGTTACCTTGCTTAGGATGATTTTTTTTCTAGTTCCATCCATTTACCTGCAAATTTCATGGCATCATTTAAAATTATTTATTTATTTATTTTTAACAGGTGAGTAATACTCCATTGTATAAATGTACCACATTTTCTTTTTTTAATTTTAAATAGCTTGTTTTACATGTCAATCCCAGTTCCCTCTCCCTCCCATCCTCCCGCACCCCCTCATCATCCCCCCCATCCTCCCACCCTATTGCCAATTCCTTCTGCATAAGGGATATCTAGAGTCTGTCATTTCACTCAGGGCAGGGTCCAGGAACTCCCCTAAGAATCCAGGCTGAGAGAGCATCCCTCTTTGTGTTATAGACACACGATGTCTGTTTGTATTCCAGGGATAAACACTGATCTACTGCTCAGGGCCCCATAGGTTGCCCAGGCCTCCTCATTGACTCTCACATGCAGGGGTTCTGGATCAGCCCCATGCTGGCCTCCCCACTGTCGGTCTGGGGTCCAAGAGCTCTCCCCTGTTCAGATTAGCTGTCTCTGCTGGTTTTGCCAGCCCATTCTTTGCCAATTTGCTCATAGCTCCTCTCTCTCTGTCACTGGGTTCCATGGGTTCAGTTCGGTGTTTAACTGTGGGTGTTTGCCTCTGCTTCCATCAGTCACTGGATGAAGGTTCCAGGATGGTTATAGACATCAAGTTCATTATCAGGAATGGGCATTCAAGGTGGTCTCTCCACTATTGCTTAGCTTGCCAATTGGTGTCATCCCTTTAGATCACTAGAGGTCACATTGGTGCCTGATCTGTCTTCTAACCTATGATTCCCTCTTCCCCCTATCCTACCCCCCCAGTCAACCTTCCTGTTCCTCCATGACCTACTTTCTCTTCCTCTTCTCCCCCTCTCTATTTCCCAGCTCCCACTCCCCCCCACCCCTCGCCATGTTCCCCATCTGTTCAGAGGATCTTGCCTCATTTCTCTTCTCTTGGGTAGCATGCATATCTCTTAGGTTCTTTCCTGTTTCCCAGACTCTCTGTCTGTGGAAGTGCAGACTGGCACTATCCAGATCCATGTCTAAAATCCATATATGAGTGAGTACATAGCATGTTTGTCTTTTTGTGACTGGGTTACCTCACTCAGGATATACCACATTTTATTTATCAATTCTTCTGTTGAGGAACATCTAGGTTGTACCAGTTTCTGTCTATTATGAATAAAGCTGCTGTGAACATAGATGAGCAGATGTCCTTATGGTATGGTGAAGTGTCCTTTAGGTACATGCTAAAGAGTGGTATAACTGGGATATTAAAGCAGATCAGTTCTCGACTTTCTGAGGAACCACCATAGTGATTTCCATAGTGACTGTACAAGTTTGCACTCTGCCCAGCAATGGATGACTGCTCCCCTTATTCCATATCCTTGCCAGCATGTGCTGTCACTTTTATTATTGACCTTAGTCATTCTAACAGGTGTAAGAAGGAATCTCAAAGTTGTTTTGACTTACATTTCTCTAATGGCTAAGGGTGTTGAACATTTCTTTAGGGATTCTCAACCATTTGAGTTTCCTCTATTAAGAATTCTGCCTATATTTTAGCCCATTTTTTATTGAATCATTTGGATTTTTGATGTCTACTCTGAGTTTTTTATAATTTTTTTGGAAATTAGTCCTCTATTGGGTGTGATGATGGTAACACACCTTTTCTCATCCTGTACGCTGCCACTTCATCCATATGGCATTGACCTTTATCATGTAGAAGCTTTTTAGTTTCGTGAGTTTCCATCTATTAATTGTTCATCTTAGTGCCTACACTTATGTTGTTCTATTCAGAAAGTCTTCTCGTGTGCCAATGCATTCAAAGCTATTCCCTTCTTTGTAACATGAATTCTAATTAGTCTTAATAATAAAAACTTGAAGTCAGATATTAGGGATGAGAGCTGAAAGATCAGGGAAGCAAAGCAGCCAGCCACTAGCTCGTACCTCTACCTAAGACTGAAA